AGCATCTACTGCGTGAGAATGAGAGATAATGGATGTACTTTAACTTTCGCTCTTGGATAGGGAAACCTTTACACATAGACATCAATTAGTCTATAAATAAATAATTGCATTTGTTAAGCTCAAATATTAGTTTCAAAACTATTTCTAAATTCAGTTCAAATTTCCAGCAAACGAATAAATGAACAATAAAAACGAAGTATGCTCAAAAACCTGGGTTATATCCTAAAACACATGCTGTGCCCCATATGGTCTAAAACCTGACAGGTGGGCAAATCTAAGCTTGTTTTTAATAAATAAATATAAATATGGATATAATAAATAATACTGCTAATAATAATACCATTATACAAAAGCAAATTGTTATGAATAAACTGAAAAAGCCTCCCGAGATGAAGAAGACATAAAAGCAGTGATTTTTCATATTTATGTAGGCTAGAAAATAATATGTTTTGTAATATTTTAATCCTTTATATTTATATCCTATTTCTATTCTTATTATATTCTATATATATCCTTAATATTTACATTTTTTCATATGTAAAGATATTTGCCTATTGCTCTCTTGTGCATATTAAGCAGTGCGTAAGGGAGGCGCAACTCGCGCCGGAGTTTAGACCGGGTTTGTTTTGGTCTAATAAAAAATCTATTTAGTTTCTCAAAATAGCAACGCGCCAGCAGTGCGCCTCAGAACGCCTTCCTTTTTGAGACTAGAACGCCTATGGGGCACAAATGAGCGCTAATGCATTTGCTATTTAAACAGCGTAGCGCAACGCCTCAAAACGACTCTTGCGCCAAGCTGAAACTACCAAAAGACTATTGCGCTGCGCCTTGCGCCACACTGCGCCGGGTGTATGATAGGGCCCAAAGAGTTTGTGTGAAACCCAGTGTAGGGATGGTACTGTATACAGTTTTAACCAAAGAATGACCAGTCTGTCCAATGACGAGAAGCCAGAATCAGAGATTTAAATAAATAAATGAAGTTTACTGAAGATACTTTGCAGTTTCATCAGCAGAAGCCAGCTTCAACACTCCAATGAGTTCCTAGGCCGCTCTGCTTACAATCACCAATCAATAACAATTATACTCATACATAACGTCATTAACTGTGTCATACATATAGGTGTTCTAAACTGACTGGTTAAAACACAGATAAACTAGGAAAATTTCCATGTGGAGTTTGTGCGTACAATTCTGAACAATATAATCGTCAGACAACCACTACACTGTTTAGAGCTGACTCCAGACGGATCCAAAATCCAATAGAACACACACACTTAAAGTATAATCTGTTTCTTATTCAAGGCTGAGTGTACTCTCAGCCGTCTTCATCAAAACTGGTTAAAAACCGGTATAACCTACTTTCAGGCAGTCATAATATCCTTACTAAACAAAGAATCACTTTAAAAGAATTAACCGTAAAAAACAGCAAAATCACTTTAGACATTTAAGATAGTATTAACAATAAATAACAATAGAAAGAGTTGCTTCCAGTCCTCAGCCCTCAGTTCCACTAAAGGTCTCCGTGACCTCTGAACAAGTTTGTTGGCTCCTGAAAAAGTTATACAGACAGAAAAAAGCACTAAATATTCTTACATAAAGCAGTGTGTTTAACTTATTCATTAGTTAAAATCATTTTAAAGTTAAATACTCATTCAAATAATTATATTTAAGAAAAAAAATTAGAAACAAGATGAGGAAAGGATAAACGTTGATTCATAATGAGATGGATTGAAAGGCAGAAATCCGAATCCTTCCCCAGCTTTTTTGTTTTTACAAAATGAATGTCCATGATGTTTAAGGTAAGGGAAGGGAAAGTAAAACTTTATTGTCCCGGTTAGGAAAATTTGTCTTAGGTTCTTGCCCTCAGCTGCAGTTGTCACATACATAGAAAAACAATACAGACATACAAAAACAGATGTGTACTGTATATAAATAAATCTACGCACCTTCCTAGCAGTCACTGTGTGTTTTTTACACCTTTCAAAATTGTTCTATTGTTTAGCCTAGAAGAAGACGGTAATCACAACAATATATACTTTCACAGATTTTTTTTTAATAAAAAGTATAGAGTGTAATAAAAATACTTTTATGCTGCAAAAATATTTTTTCTTGTGTTTCCCCTCCAAATTTCACTGAACTTTTTCCGTAATTGGTAGGCAGACTTCTGCCGACACTATGGTAAAAATCTCTTAGAAGCATGCTATGGTTATCCCCAAATACCGCAAATACCTAAAAACTCTGTTACATTTTACCCCGCGTTATTTTGTGCCCCATGCACCCCTAATGTCACTGGATAAAAAGAGTTTTTATATCTATTTAATTTACAGCAAGGAACATTAAACCTTTCCCCGAAGGTAACAACTCGTGCTCATTAATCAAAACATACGATAAAGGTATAGTTATAAATGTACTCCCTATTTACTCACCAATTTACTATTTACTCACCACTCACAAAGTGATTCCAAACCTTTCTGAGTTTCTTTTTTCGGTTAACCACAAAAGAAGATCTTCTGAAGAAAACTAGTAATCGGTAACCTTCAACATCCATATTGAAAACAAATACTAGAAATCACTGGTAACAAGTTTCCAACATTTTTCAAAATATCTTCATACAGGTTTGGAACAAGTTAGGGTGAGTAAATGATGAACAAATTTTCAGTTTCAAGTGAACTATCCCTTTAATTGCCAGCAGCAGCTACTGCCATCCAGATGTCCAGACTTTTTAACCAGGCTAGACTTTTTAACCAGGCAAGTTGTCAAAAGACTCTACTAATGGTCAAATGATAGTGTGACAAGAACAAGAAGTAAAAGTGCAGCTACTCTGCGTGTATTAGACATTGAACTGACAGTTGCATAATGCACTTCATGGCACTGAGAAAAAGAGTATTTGAAAGTGCATATACATGATTCCCTGAGGATTAACTCAATATACAGTACAGTATGATCTGAGTCTGAGCAGAGATTTAAGTGTAAGTTTCTGAGCTGTACAGATGGTCTAATGGGTCCCAAATCTAGTCTTATTTTCACCAGGGAAATATGTTGTGCAGATGGAGATAATGTACAGTACAGTGTGTGTGTGTGTATGATAAACTGGCATTGCCCACTGGATAAATTGCTTTGGGTGCACTTCTTCGTAATGATGGATTTCCATATGCAATTACATGCTGGATCTAGTGAAACTCATTAAAGCTTCATTAAAAACCGTGCTCGCATGAGACTACATGTACAGTATAGACATAACAGAATACATTCATTGAACGACTGAACAATTATATTAAGCTTACAGTTACATTAAGTCATTTAGCAGACACTAAATGAAAAAAGTGAGTATTTATACTGTATTTTATAAAGAGAGATATAGAATAAAAACAATACACAAAAAGTTCTATAATTACACAAATGTTTACAAGTACTACATGTATATTACTACTTAATATTGTTGTGCTGTTGTTGTTATTATGAAAAAGTACAGTTGTTTATAAAGATTAACATTATTGTTATTAACATTATTAGTATTATTACTTTATTTTATTTGACTTTGTACTATAACAAATAGGTATACTTATTTGAAATAAAAAACAAGACAATTGTTATTTATATAAATTATTTTGTTAATATTACGGCTCTATATTAACAGCTTATTATTTTTCAAGTTATTTTGATTTTTGATGTTTTAAAGTTCTAAACTATTCAAAAATATTAAATGTTATTATCAGTCACTAAACAACAATAATAATAATATAATAATAACAACAATAACAACAACACTAGACTAATCATATTTTGGTCGTTTTATACTAATACATTTATTAATACCAACATTAACTATTACTATTATTATTATGTTAATAAATGTAACTATTTATATATTCATTCATTCATTTTCTTTTTCGGCTTAGTCCTTTTGTTAATCAGGGGTCGCCACAGCGGAATAAACAACCAACTTATCCAGCATATGTTTTACACAGCGGATGCCCTTCCAGCTGCAACCCAGTACTGGGAAACATCCAAACACACTCATTCACACACACACACACACACACACACTACGGACAATTTAGCTTACCCAGTTTACCTATAGTGCATGTCTTTGGACTGTGGGGGAAAACGGAGCACCCGAAGGAAACCTACGTCAACACGGGAGGAACATGCAAACTCCACACAGAAATGCAGACTGACCCAGCCGAGGCTCAAACCAGCAACCTTCTTGCTGTGAGGCAACAGTGCTACCCACTGCACCAACGCACAGCCTTAAGTGTAACTAATAATAATAATTTATAATAATAATAACAACAATAATAATAAAAATAATAATTATAATATGCTACATAGTTATTGTAGGAATAATCATCACTTACAAACATTTAAATATAATACAATATCCAAATGTATTATTTTGTATGTATTCATTAACTTTATAAAGCATAGCCATTGTTTTGTGCACCACACTTGATCCATCCCAGTGGATTAAAAATAACTGAATGCCAAACAGTAATCAGTCTCCGCCCTCCTATAAAACACTCGCCGCAGATGATCGTGGATTACAGAAAGCGCGTGGGGGGAGGAATCAACTTCAGACTCTTGGACTGCCATCAAACAATGTAAGAAAATACTCTCACTGTCTTTTACAACTGCATAGAAATACTGAATAGAAATCTAAATGTAATTAGTGCTGACAAACATAACTTACCAACGCTGAAGTAAATTATAAACAGCGAGTAGACCGCACACGCGCAGAACGCTTTCATGTCATGAAATTAGCGCATATAACGTACTTGTTTGTCGGATCGCCTCAGTTTGCCAAATACCTGCAAAGAACTCGTTTATTTAAATGCTACTAAATCCAGTTTGTTATTTTGGTGAAAATAGTATCTGTAATGTAACTTTGTATTCGTTGTGGATCTTAAATATAAATTTGACTGTCACATTTGGCTAAGTCAAAACTTAAACGTGATTAGATAAGGCGCTGAGGGCAAGAACTCGAGGACACGATCAGATCAGATCAGCAGTCACGCTTTAGGCAGCCAGTGATCAGTAAAGCCGCAGCTCAGGTCAGGACTGGCAAAGGAGATGTAATTAGGGATGGGCTCAGGGGTTTCATCACCCAGACCCCCCACCACACCTGCAGCCCAGCCGGACAAATGTACAACCGCGTAAGTTTAAAAGCAGTTCTGTCAGAGCAGCTGTTGTTTCATGTTGTTTTCTACCTGTGCTTATTTCCTATTTTAGTCCAATGTCTGGGAATGAAGAGCGCACTTTCATCGCCATCAAGCCGGATGGGGTGCAGAGAGGACTCGTCGGAGAAATCATCAAGCGCTTCGAACAGAAAGGCTTCAAGTTAGTGGCTATGAAGTTAATCCAGGTAAATTAAATTAACTGTCTTGAACCTCGACGACAGACTGTGTAGTCTTACTGTACATTTCCTTGTAAAGATCAAACAGCGCAATGACCAGTGCGTCAAAGTAGACTGCAGATGACAGACATTTAGAGATTGCATTACATAAACATTTCGTGAATGTATTACATACGGCAAAAGTGGCAAACTTTTTTTTAATACTTAAAAATGAGCTGTATTAGGCCTAACTGTAACCTTTTTTATTAGAATTGTAGATATGGTAAGAACACATAAAATATGTTTGATAGTCAATAATATTTTATGAACGTTTAAAAATAATAATTACAGTATAAATGTACATGAATCTGTACATCTGAAATGAATATTCATCATATTTTTATATGCATGTGTATTATAATGACTGGAGTGAAACTCTCTCCCTCTGTCTATGTGTGTGTTTTGTATTTGATTATTTGTTTACTGCATTAATCTACTTACAGTTTTTACTACTTTTTTACTTTGCATATTTTGTTATTCATCTTTTTTCATTTATTTATGCTTTTGAATTGGGCTATATGACATTGACCTTTCCTCTAATAACTTCTGTAGTTAATTAGTTTGAAAAAGTGATGTTTATTGACATTTTTAATAGTTTACATTGATACATTGTCTGGGCTGGTGTTGTAAATTACTAAACAAAACCTGGTCATTATATAACACATAGTTTAATATAACTTCCATGTCTATATATTATTTCTGTATTGTTTCAAATACTAAATTGCCAATAAAAGCCACTTTGTTAAACTGAAAGCTGCAGAGTTGAAGATTCAACATCAAAAGTCAACAGCAGAGATCAAAATATCATAATAAATAGATTAACTTAATTCCTAACCATAAATGAATGGGTAAAAACTTGAATAACACAATTTGGAAGCTGTTCATTTATTTTTTACTACATATATTTATTTTATTTTTTTGCTTTAAAAAGCACATTTTTGAACTTCCATTTTCATACTATTCTCCGTAGTTGCTTTGAATAGAAGTATCTGTCAAATGAAATGTTTTATAACTGCATTTTTATTTGCTTCTTTAGTGTGTGTGTGTGTGTATATATATATATATATATATATATATATATATAT